TTTGTGACATTGCTAACTGTCTATAATGAGGCATGTCATCACTGACAGATTGACATTAATCAAAAGTTCTATATGAAAATTTAAATTTTATATTAAAATACGATTTCGGATAAAATTCAATACAAAACTCGTCAGTAACATGACATTACCTGACTCGGAAATTAAAGTACTCGGCCCCAAACGAGCCTCACACTTCAATATTTCCTCGCCAGTAATGGTGTCATTTTCCGGACGTATGTAAATAACTATTAATCCGACTCTTAGTTTCATTTCAAATTTGAGTACTAGTGATTTCATTGGAATTTACGAATTATAATCGAGATTGTAATTAAGACCATCGTAATTTTCTAACTTATAATAGTTTTATGCTGAATTATTGTTAACACTAATTACTTTACTGGAAAGGGTATTTTAACAACAATCAAAACTCCCCTCATTCGTGAATGGTTGTGTTCTTGTTATATGATCAAATCGATGAATTGCGTAATTATTATTAAGACCTAATTGGCTGTCGTGAATGCCTTCATGTAACCATGTTTCAGTAAATACAATAAAGTCATAGCTAATGTACTAACCAAACACCGCACTAATCAAAAGATTTAATTTAGTTCTAATACCCCGAACGGTCTGATATTACAAACTTAGCGACTGAATGATGTTATGTCATAATAATAATTACGTACGACCCTAAATTTATTGGGTTCGTGAACACACGTACACAAATTCGAACACAGTAAATCTAAAATTAAACCATCTCATTTTCCAATACTACACCTCATTTAAATCTAAGCGAAACAATTTAAAGTTAATCAAACAGCGCAGATACCAATAAAAAATAATATATCATCTCACGACGTTATGCGAACCCCTTTTTGTTAAATTCAGACGCTATCTTATTAATTGCTGGTTCTGGTGAAGAGCTTCAGTGCACATTTTTAAAAAAACGTATGTCGGTCAACCTCCTATTTTATAACGATGAATTTGGCCGGACTTTACCAAAGTAAATGTCCTACTTTTCCCTTTTTGTAAACCAGCGTGATCGCGAATTCATTTCCACTTTTCGTTTTTAGAAGCGCACAAATTTTCCGCAAACCCACTATTTGGCCGCGTCGTGCTATTAAAACACCTGTATTATCACATCCAGATATTGTCATATTCAGATCTCATTTACTTTTTTAACACACATGTCCAAATTTGTATATAGAAAAGTTCTACACAATAAACATCTTACAATGTCTTACCAAATTAAATAAAAGCAATAATTTCGGATTTTTATTTAATAAATGGCCTATTATTCAATTTAACAAAGACGAACTATTCATAGGGCGATCAGTCTTTCTGATAAGCATAAAATATTTGGGCAAACTAAAATTATGCGTGGTATCAGTGCAATGTAAAGTGTGAATTGAACTAGATCACTACGTTATATTAAAACATAAAGTGAGAATAAAATAATTCAAGAAAGTTAAATTCACAGAATCGACTGGTCTTGTATCCGAAACTACGGCAGAGTTTTGAAAGTAGCTTGATTTTAGTGTGTAAAACACACTGAAATTCAAACACAGGTTAATATTAATTTACAATGTATGGGCATTCGGCATCCAGAAACAATTGTAATACAGGAATTCGGAATGCGAAGACGATGCGGACGTTTAAATTGCTGTAGAAAAATGAGCAATCATTCAACGTCAAGCCTGATGACAACCGTTTCTAATTGATTTCAGATACGAGTGGTAAAAAGTTTGGATGAGTGACTTGCGAGTGGGTGTTTTGTTTACTTTAGCGCATTCCATGACGATGGTTGCATTGGCAACAAAACCGGTATCGCTATTTGAATTTTACTTTCATGGCGTATTTATTTAATTATTATGTCAACATTGTAACTTATTTCAGAGATTTTCTTCGCGATTATTATAACGTTAGGAGACGTCCAGAGTCATTAAATATTTGACGTGTACATAAATTAGACAACTACACTGCATATGCCACGGCTCAATTCATTATGGTTGCGTAAAATGAAACGATCATCAGATATGATTGATTTATTGTCGGTCCTGAATGACTAATGTGTAACCTAAGTAGCAGTATGAAAGCGATTTAGTCTCAGGTGTTGAATGGGAGTTAACTCGTTCATTATTATGACAAAATACTTTTGATCAAATTTATGATAATTTAGATTAATTATACCTACACTGTACCTATGCATAGACTATTCTGGCTTGGCTACCGAATTATTTTCCATTATTATAGATTTCGGTTCATTGTGTGGATCTTCTTTAAAAACTCACTTTGAAAATTACTAGCAAAAATTGAGTTTACAAGAGAACGAGATGTCCCTCTTTTCTTAGTCCGTCATTATTTCAAGTAAAAAATTCGTCGAGAACTATTGAACTATTATTAATTACTTTTCCACAATGATGTGCTAACTAGAAAGTAGGATAGACTGCCTTATCTTTATCACATCCCATTCTAAAACTAATACTGATGTACTGATTGAACTTTGTAACTGGTAACCTATGTTGTGAAGATATTAATTATACAGGTTGTGCCTAAATATGATTTACAGGGATAATAAAAGTATCTGTACGGACTAAAAATGTAGTAACTGATTGATTTCAATATACAGAGAGTGCCCAACAAAATACGTTCTCAATATATTTAATGGAACATACTTTTAAGTTGTGAGCGAGGTTGTCAGTAATCCTGTATTTCCTGATTACAAATATACAGTGTGTCCCAGATCGCATGGGATTGCATGGGTAACTTTGTTATTATTAAAGATAAAGAATTGGTTAAATGTGCAATGTTTTGCAGTTTTAGATGCACATTTAAAATTTCCTTTTGGAAATTCAAAATGTCGCATAGGGTCGACGTAAATTCAAAAAAACTAAAATTGCTCATTTCCTTGAATGTCTTATATCATCGAAAGTATAAGAGATATAAAAAAAAGTTTTATATAAAAGTGACTGTCTTTGATATGCTTAATTTAGAATTGATGTCAAAAAAAAATTCAACATGGCTGCTTTTGAGGAACATTTACCAACTTCCTAAAGTTAAATAGGCGCTATATGGGATTTTTAGATTATTTGATAGATTTTTTAATTCTTTTTTCAACGAGCCATCATAACCTCGATCATAACATAAGATTGAAAATAAGATACCAGTTATATCAACGGTTTTTATATTTTAATGAAGTAGGCTGTGATGAATTAAAAAAAAAACCAATTTCAATTCAAGCCAACAAAACAATGAAAATAATTACATCATATGTTTAAAAACTCAGGGGCGCACTCATGAGAGGGGGGTTTGGGCATTACAATTCCCTCCAAAATTTTATATAAGCCTAGAAAAATTTTGATTTTTATATCACTTATTGACTATCTTATTATCCATACTTACATACCTACAAACTATCCCCTCGAAAAAATGTCATGCCATTATCCAGTTAAACATATTTCAAGACACTTTGCTTTATTTTACACAATGTATTACCATTGATGCATTGTCCCAGGTCACATTTTGTAGGTCAGTAGGTGGTTTATCCGCAAGAATATCGAAACTAACAGTTTTACCAGTCCGAGTATATGGACACATGAATCTTTTTCTAACTGCGGAGTGTTCAAATCGACATAATGAACGCTATACTCGTCACAGGAAAACCTACATGATGTAGTTTCACGCCGAAATCAAGTAATATTTTTTAAAATTAATGTATTTTATGGCATAATGGGAAGTCATGTAATTGTACCGGTAATCTTTGTTGGATCTTTAACTGCTCACCATGATTTACAAATTCTCCAATAAACTTCCTTAAAGGATTTTTCTCGACAACGTATGTTTCGAAGAAAGGGTTGGTTTATGCTACCTACCAACAAGCTGGCTGCTCAGGTCACAATTCACGAATGATGTACAGTACATTAAATTATAAAAGTAAGTGCTTAATTAAAAAATAAAAGTAAAGTGGAAGTAGCTACCACTACAATAATAATAATAATCATCAATGGCAACACGTTGCCTAAACTAAACTGTCTTGAAGTGTGTTTCACTAATAATGGCCAGTATTTTAAACATCTGATGTAATTATTTTCATTGTTTTGTTGGCTCGAATAGATTTTGTTTTGTTTTTTTTTTAATTCATCACAGCCTACTTGATTAAAATATAAAAACCGTTGATATAACTGGTATCTTATTTTCAATCTTATGTTATGATGGCTCGTTGAAAAGAGAATTTAAAAATCTATCAATTAATCTAAAAATCCAATATGGCGCCCATTTAACTTTAGGAAGTTGGTAAAGGTTCCTCAAAAGTGACCATCTTGAATTTTTTTTGACGTCAACTCTAAATTAAGCGTATCAAAGACAGTCACTTTTATATAAAACTTTTTTTTATATCTCTTATACTTTCGATGATATAAGACATTCAAGGAAATGACCAATTTTAGTTTTTTTGAATTTACGTCGAACCTATGCGACATTTTGAATTACCATAAGGACAATTTTAAATAAGCATCCAAAACTGCAAAACATTGCCCATTTAACCAATTCTCTATCTTTAATAATAACAAAGTTACCCATGCAATCCCACGCGATCTGGGAGACACTGTATATGTTATGACATCGTAAGTGGTAATGAATCTTGGATATACAGGCTGATTCAAATTCGAGGGCCACCATGGGGATCTCGGGAACTGTAAGAGATAAGTAGGTAGTTTAAATTTGGAAAAGTTGCATATTTTGATGCTTAACAAAATGCAGTTTTGAAACTGAAAAATTTCCGACTAATTTCGGAGATATCTGGAAAAAAACGAAATTTTGCAAAATCGTTTTTATTTTTTACTGAAGTTATTTAAAAAGATATTTCGAAATAAATGACACATTATTATGGCCACTTTTTTCCTTCTACAATATGTTCTTTCCAAATCACTTTTCGCAAAAAAGGTCTTTCCATATAATGATAATCCTTATTCTTACATTTTTTTTTTTTTTTTTTTTAGTTTTTTTAAGGCAACGACAACAAAGGTCTTACGCCCAATTTATTCGCTTCAATCGTTACTTCTTATTTAAAGCATTCTAAACAAATTGATACTTTTTAGGAAATCCATCACCCTCCTCAGACTCTCCTCACCCCCATCCAAGACTTCAGCAATGTTTCCACTCATACCTGCCACATTCCTCCGATCTGCGTATTTTGGACACTCTACTAAGATATGGTCCACAGTGACTCTATCTCGACATACATCGCATACCTCTCGTGTAGTTTTTCCCAGCAGATGTTGATGTGTCATACGAGTATGACCAATACGTAACCTCGTGAAAACAATTTCTTCCCTTTTCGATAAATGGTAATTTATTTTGATTGCTTGTGTGCTGTTTTGAAATTTATACAGGTAAGTATTTGCATCTTGCCAAGCAGAGTTCCATTTCTCATACATTCTTTTTTTCAGGTGTTTTTTGAAATCACTTGGATGAATAGAGATTCCATCATAGACTGTGGAGTTCGTCGATTCTTTTGCTGCCGTATCTACAGCTACGTTACCGGCAATCCCAGCATGACCTGGGATCCAGATTAATGTCACCCTAATATTAATATTTAGTAGGTATTGTATACGATCTTTTATAATGCATATCAAAGGGTCTACAGAATTTGCTTTATTGACTAATGCATGCATGGCACTTAATGAGTCAGAGCATATGACTACCTGCTTGGTATTTTCATATTCACAAAATATCAGTGAGTGCCATATTGCGTACAGTTCTAAGACATAGACGCTGGTGATGTCTGAATGTCTCCAAGCATAACTTTTCTGGTTGACAAACATAGCACTAGCCGTTCCCCTTTCTGTTTTAGAACCATCCGTGTATATAATTGTAGCATCCGGATATTTTCCTATAGTTTCCCTAAAATGCATTCTGTATACAATATTTGATGTTTCGTTTTTGCTGAACGCCGATATGTCCAGTACCGTATCGATATTATCGCACAAAATCCAGGGAGCGTAAGGTGTAATCGCATATTGCATTAAATTGGGCCTTTCTTCACCAAGTGTACCTAATAGTTCTAATGCCCTGATTATTGCAGGTCTACTTACAGTAGGCCTTCGCTGGTACTCTAGTATAGTGTCATTATCGTTTAAAAGAATGGCATTTCGATGGTTTCTAATTGATAACATCTTAACAAGATAGTTGCATAACAACATCTCTCTACGTATGTACAGAGGCGGTACACCCGAACTTGCATATATAGACTGTAGTGGACTAGTACGGAAAGCGCCAATTGATAGCCTAAGTCCACTAGTATGCACTGTGTCCAGCATCTTTAACGTACTTTTTCGCGCAGAAGAATATACGATACTGCCATAATCTAGTACTGGCATTACGAAAGATTTATATAGATGTAGTAATGTATCTCTACCACAACCCCAGTTAATGTTACATAAACATCTTATTAAATTTATTCGTTTTTTACATTTAGCTGCTAACTGAAGGGTGTGATCCTTAAAATATAACCGGTTGTCAAAAGTCATCCCTAATATTTTTATGCTTTCTGCTATGGGGATTCTTATATGATTCATGTATAATTTCGGGTTTTCGTGTTCAAGTCTCCGTCGACAGAAATGAATTGCCTTGGTTTTCTCAGTGTTAAATTTCATACCCATCGAGTCTGCTTGTTCAGTTATTTGATTTAAAGCGTTTTGTAGTTTATCTTGGATGACTGCCATATCTGAATGTTCATAGAAAATTATCAAGTCATCCACGTAAAGCATAGAATTAACTTCGGTATTAATGGTTGAAATTAATTCGTTTATTCCTATTAGAAATAACGTGCAACTGAGAATTGACCCCTGAGGTATTCCGTTCTCTAAGCTGTGTACTTCAGATTGCTCGCTTCCTAACCTAACTGTAAAAGTCCGACCAGTCAAAAAAGTGCGTAGTGTGCAAGGTAAGTTTCCTTTCAGACCCCATTTGTCCAAAGCCTTTACTATGTTGTATGTCCACATCATTTCGTATGCTTTTTCTATATCGAATGTTATGGCCACGATATGATTATGTCTCAGAAATGCATTCAATATATGAGCTTCTAAGTGGATGAGATGGTCGATTGTTGACTGTTGTTTTCTGAAACCCGCCTGACTCGGTGTTAAGCAATTCCTCTTTTCCAATATCCACATAAGTCTTTCATTTATAATTTTTTCATACACTTTTCCTATACAGCTTGTTAAAGCGATCGGTCTGTAATTGTTCGGGCTAGTGACATCTTTTCCAGGCTTAGATATTGGGACAATGATGGATTGCTTCCATTGTTCAGGATATGTACCATTTTTGAACAGTTCATTGTAAATACCTAGTAGTTCTTTACGTTTGGATTCGGGAAGTTTACGTAACATTGCATTAACTACATTATCTGGTCCTGGTGCCGTGTCTTTCGTATCACAAATCGCGCTTTGTAGCTCATTTCCGGAGAAAGGTAAGTTATAAGTAAAGTTTATGTCCGTGTGGAAATTAATGTAAGTTTCATTTCGCTTCTTAGTTTCCCGAAAATTTTTGTTATAATTTTCAGAGCTACTGTTAGCCTCAAATTGACGTGCTAGACCTTCAGCTATATCTTTAGGGCTATCCAAACGATTACCTTCAACTATTAGGATTGGTGAAATTTCTTCCACAGGTTTACCCATAATTTTCTTTACCCTTTTCCAAACTTCGCTGGGGTGCGTAGTGTTGTCTATGGTAGCAACATAGTTGTGCCAGGAAGCCCTTTGTGCGGTCAGAACTACTCTACGTGCTTGAGCCCTTGCCTTTTTAAAGTCTATCAGATTTTCTAAAGTGGGCTGGTTCCGAAATTTTTTAAAACACTTTCTTTTCGTATCTATAGCATCCTTAACCTCTCTAGACCACCAAGGTACGTTTCTATTTGTAACTACACCTTTTGATTGTGGAATCGCTTTCCTGGCCGCAGTGAGTATTTGATCTGTAAAAGCAGTAATTTTATCTTCTATCGGCATATTTTCATGGATACTCGGAGCATCTGTTAAGATTTCCTCAAATAAATCCCAGTTAGCCTTGGAAATATTCCATTTCTTAGGCAGTGTATAATTTTGTTTATGAGATGGGGTCGATAAGAAGATAGGGAAGTGATCACTACTGCACAGGTCATCATGTACTTCCCAAGTCAGTTTAAGTGCCACTGGGGCTGATCCGATGGCAAGGTCAATAGCTGAGAAGTTGTTACCTTTAGCGTTGAAATGTGTAGGTTCTCCTGTGTTAAGTAAAACTAGTTCGTTGCCATCCAGAAGGGTTTCAATTAAGCGACCTTTCGCATCCGTAAATGCGGAACCCCATGCTATTGAGTGAGAATTAAAGTCTCCCACAATGAGGAAGGGTGTTGGAAGTTGCGGGAGAAGCTCCTCTATGTCCTCTACTCTCCAACGATGCGGTGGTAAGTACAAATTGCATATGGTGAGTTTAAATGGGTATAACACCTCAGACGCTATAACTTGGAGGTTTGAATTAAGGTTAACTATTTTATGTGGAATGTTGCTCTTTATGAATATAGTTACCCCACCACTTGCTCTATTATTTCCAGTAAAGTTTTTGTGATAGTTATTATAACCCCTTAAGACAAAACGTTCATTTTCCTTTAAATGCGTTTCCTGGAGACAGATGCAATATGGTTTACGTTCATTTATGATTTTCTTTAGTTCACAGTATCGAGTCCTTAAACCATTACAATTCCATTGTAGAATACTTTCTGGTAGTGCCATTTTACATGTAAAATTAGTATAAATAACACTCAAGTAAATTGATAAAAATGTGAAAAGACGCAGGACAAACTATTTCGATAAAACAAACAACACACGGATGAAAATTTGTTAACACGAGTATATATGTACACTTAAAATTACTTTTCCAATTTAGTATCACAGATTTGAAATATCACAGACTAATCAATTTTTTCTACAAGATCACCAGCAGGCCGAGATTCTTCCATCTCGGTCTGTGATATTCCACTAGAAGTAGAGCAGTTATCTTTGGTTTTTCTAGGCTTTCCTTTGGGCCAACCTTTCCTTTTTGGTTTAGCCTTCAGGTCCTCGTCGCATGGAGAACTGGATGCTCTTTTTCTGTTCTCCTTCGCATTGGCCCCCTCTTCTATATCCTGAGAAGGAGGTGGCATAGCTTTTGTGTCTGCTATAACAGACCTAATAGTCGGCATTACAATATCACATACATTCTTTGATATCGTAACGACTAAATCCGGTACCATTTTTTTAATTACATCTTCAACAGACGGTTCTTTAACCTGTATCGTTTGAGCGTATGTTTTTCCAGTTACAGGGGTACGTGTGATTACTTTCTTTTTAGCTTCTGGATATGATAATCCCTCTGTCACTTTGAGCTCTTACATTTTATATTTTAACGGAAACTTAAAGTTGATGTTTCAATATACATGATTGTAATCAGAAAAACGAGCTTTATTAAAAAATGCTACAATCCAATATGACTGCCATAAGAAATAAAAAAGTTATCTACTGTGACTTCCAAGTCTAGAGTGCCTTGAACATTTGGATAACATATTTTGATTGCTCATAAAACAGTGATTTAATAATTTTTTAGTTTAAAACGTGTATTTTTGTCGTTTTCGAAATAAAAAGGAAGGAAGGAAAAGGAGATCCCCATGTTGGAGATCGGCCCTGTATATTAGTGCGTTACTGATCGGTTTCTGGCTTTTTCAGGTTCTCTAATGCCTCGGTGAGACCTCAAAAAAAAAGGATCAAACCGCTTCTAGTTCCTCAACTTTTTATTGTTCAAATTAGAGACAAATTTATAAGATTTTTTATGTGTGAGTTTTTATATATGACACTTTTTTTCATTTGTTGTAAGTTGTAACTGTAACAACACAATTCTTTCAAATACGTCTTTCTCTATCTAGTCCAGGCTAAATAGCTCTAAAATAATTTATTTTCAAAAAAAATTAGTTACCGGGCGAAACCCGAGGCGAAACCGGGTTTTTCGGGCAGGTGAAATGAATAGAAATTGGGAAAAAATAATTAAAACAGCTGAATTTTCCGCGGGTGAAATCACGGGGGTTGAAAGGGGTGGAATGTGGTGTTCTGCAAATTGTGTCAAAACTATTAATTTTAGACGAAAATGTTAAATGCAAAAGTTATAGAGATTAAAAAAATGAGCAACTTTTGTATCTACACTATTTTCACATAACCTCCAATTTTCCTTAAAAAAAACCGGAAACTGTTTTTTTGTTTTTTATTCTTATTTTTGCGAAAAAATGTCGTAGGGGTTTGAAATTTGGAGGAAACATAGCTTGTTTTATGATAAAAAAAGAAGATAATTTTTTGGGCCTGTAAAGTTGAACCGTTTCGAAAATCTCACGATTTCTGAAAAAAAAACACCTCTTTTTCGAGGGGATGAAAAATCTATTTTTTTGCAAATAAATTAACATATTGGATCCGCGCTAATAAAAAGTTTTTGAATTCTGTCTTCTCTCCCCTCTTTAATGTTGCTAAAATATGTTCTTTTATTACCCAGTGCCCAAATGCCTTAATTAAACATCTTTATTATTTCTTTTTTCTGCATTTTTACCGCAATAAAAGCAATTCGAAGTAAAATCGAATTCTTTTGCTTCCTGAACAATTTGTTTTTGTTCAATAACTCTTCTTCCTGCCTGTTTTACAGCTGATGGGATTAAGCTGGCCCTGTTGATCGTTTTACAGGAATTATGTATAAAATCCTCATAAAGTTTATTCCAGGTTTTACACCTCAAATCATTTGCTTTGGCCAACGGCCGGTAAAACTAACGTTCTTATTTCAGATTTTGTAAGTTTTCAACAGGCCCAACTCAATTGCATCAGCTATAAAACAGGCAGGAAGAAGAGTCAGTGAACAAAAAGAAATTGTTCAGGAATCAGGAAGCAAGATAATTCGATTTTATTTCGAATTGCTTTTATTGCGGTAAAAATGCAGAAAAAATAAATAATAAAGATGTTTTAACTAAAACAGTTGAGCATAAGATAACAAAAGTGAATATTTAAGCAAACATTAAAGAAGCAAGAAGACAGATTACGAAAAAATCTTTATTAACATCTAACATGTTGATTTATCATGTCAAAAACCGTGTAGGTATATCTTAAAACTGTTTTTCCAGTTTTTGGCGATTTTCCCGAATTTTTGCTATAGGAATAATATTTTTTTATTCTTGTTTATTAAAATATAAGTCTAATTTTGCTACCCCACGACATTTTTTCGCAAAAATAAGAATAAAAAATGAAAAAAACAG